AAATGATATGAGGATGCTAGTGGCTTCTGAAATGAATCACAGAACCCTGCTGATATCTCATAACACTAAGATCTACAGTATGTATTGAATAGACTATTTACAGTAAAAATGAACAAGATATGGTAAATTAAAGAGTTTATATAAAATAGATATCTTGTTCCCCCAAGACAAAATGGGAGAATATACATAAAAATAACATGAATTTTAACTTCATTTCCTGTCAGGTTTTCTTTTTATCCCATAAACCAACCTTGAGAGTAAAAGAGATATTTCCAGTAGCTGGAAATCCTATTTATATCCCAGCTATACAAGCAATTATTTGAATCTGTGACTCTTTGTAAAATGCATATGCTCAAATTCTTGATTTATGTACACAGTTATGGTGACTATCTGGGTTTTGACCTTGGTAAGCAATCAATGCCAAAAAGTTCCCCATGAAGCAGGAGTCTGCCCATACAGATCTCATCAAAGCATCTAGAATTCTGCTTCTGTTTGGTTTGTTCTGTTGTTGCATTTCTGCTTCCAGGTTCGACGAAATATCTGTTAATGCTTAATCTTGCCATTTAATAATCTCAAATGAAAAAATAAATAAATTATTAGTTCTCTTTTAACAAACAATATATTTTCTGGAATTTATGGCATCCTAAAAAAAAATGCCTTCTATGTCTGAATGTGTTTGTCACAGAAGAACAGGAGGCAACCATTTTTTCGCTAATCCATCACTCTAAGTTTTTAGATAGAAAATGGGATATTTCTTGGTTGACAGATTCATTTACTTCACCCTTTCCCCATACTCTCTCTATATATACATGGAACACAAGCTACACAAGCTACAAAGGGCTTTTTTTCATTGCCAGGATTTTCAGCCATACATCAATGCATTTAATTTACAGCCCATTTATATAAACATATGCTTTTCCTTTTAATTTATAGTTTTTTGCTACAGTAATACTTTGAGTATCTGCAAAAATACATTCAAGTACTTAAATTTTTTCTCACAAAGCACTCCTGACCAAGCTAGTTTTCCTCATCATTGTGAAGCATTTTCATTTCTTTCTTCATATTAAACAAAGTAAATAGAGTCCATTAGAACTGCAGCATCACCCTGAATGTTTGGGTCAGTCACAGAAAGAGCAGTCTTATGTAACCTAAACTGAAGCAATTCACACTAAAGATTTAGATGCTGTTGACTGGTCTGAATTCTTTAGCCTGTTCTCAGCCTACATGTTATCCAACATACAGAGACAATAATTACAGAGAAAACTCTTAACTTGTTTTTCAGTAACTTAACATAAGTGTTCTAAATATCTCAGTCTGTCACTCCCAGTTGCCAGGTATCCTTTTGCAGAAATGTGAGTGGTCATTATTTAAAAAAAAAAAAAAAAAAAGCTGAAAGTTGATTTGACACCTCTGCTTGTTAAGTATTTTCTAAAACAAATAAAGCTCTTTACTTAAAAAAATAATTGAAACTAACTCTTCATTAACAGTTCAAATTGCCTTGGTAAATTTGGTCAGAGCTCTCGCTGAATAGTTTTATCAAGCATCTTCATTTAATGTTTGCAAAGGATCACTTTCTGATTATTTCTCTCTCACATTGACACATGGGAAGCAGTTATGAAAAAACCCATCAAGAATAGTAACATCCTTTAAAATCTTGAAAGCTCTCCCATGGACTGGTTGGCACTTTGCCACCGATGCTTAAGAGATTACAGAACTGGATTTTATTAATGTAGGGTTTACTTGCAGTGATAAGTGATGGGAAATGAATTTATACAACATCAGGTTTCATCCTGTACCCAAGGAATCCCAAGCAAAAGTCTCATGCATCAGCTGTAAAAAGTTAATGGGATATTGTTCCCATTTCTTCTAAGCCTACCTAACTTTGAGTAAAGAACAAAACATAGTTCTTGACCTTAGCAGTTTTTGTCATCTTGGTCGCGGTGATCAATACATGAAACTATTCCTGCTTTTACATTCATTAAAGCATCTTGCCTAGGAATATATTATCTAAGTAAATGTCAGGTTTTGAAAATGAGATTAATGTTTTTAATCAACAGATTACCCCAATAACTACTGGTTTTCAGCCAGTCTTCACTGGCTCTCTATTTGAACCTTTGTTTCCTAATTCATTAGTCTTTCACCAACACTTAGCACAACTAGACTTCCAACTTCATTGGAACCCTTTGGAGTTCTGTTATTGCTTGATATTTTTCTACCTAGTGGAAGGTGTCCCTGCCTATGCAGGGGCATTGGAATTAGATGATATTTAAGATCCCTTCCAACTCATACCCTATGATTACAGTCCTTTTTAGAAGTACATTATTTTAATGATTTTTTTTGGGGGGGGGGTTGTTTTTGTTTGTTTGTTTGTTTTTCTAAAAGATGCAACTGTATAGTCACTAATATTTCTGTTCTGCTGAAATGAGAAAAGACTATGGATCTGAAGTCAACACAGAGTTGTTTAGATTATTGGCAATTTGCAGATGGTGTGTAACTCACTGATTTGGACTAGAAAATCCATCTTAAGTCTCCCCACCAAGTTCCTTCATCTATTTTTACAGATCTGCACTTTTCAATACTAAAAAAAAAAATTGTCATTGTCTGAAATTTCCCATTCCAATCTTGAGAGAAAACCAAAAACATTATTTCTGAGAGCATGTTTGTACAACGGAACACCTTTTGGTCTCACTAAACAGGGGCTCTAGGCTACCTGCTTATCTCACCAATACAGAAACAACTAAATATTAAGCCCCTATTCTGCTTAAGCCCCATCTTCAGAGCATCATTTAGTAGTTCCTAGCAACCGGCTGAAGAAAGTCCCAAAATAAAACCATTCAATGTAAATCCACTGTTTTTCTCCGATTCAGAGAATTCCTATCAGATCTCTTTAGAAGAAAAAGGGAATTACTGCACACTTTTCTAAAACAGTCTGTCTTTGTTGGGCAGAATAACAACCTCATACCCTCTTGCTCTTCTTCATAAACAACTTTCACTTAAAACTGAAAATGAGTGACATTCTCTGACCTTTAAGAAGGCACCCTGCCAAGTTAGAGGGACAAACACATCAGAAGTATCTACCTTTTTCCACTGGCAAACATGATTTCTTTAACATAGTTCCATACGTATTAGGAAAAAAAAGAATTTACTAATGGCTAATTTCAATAAAAATCAGTGCTCATGCACAGCAGTAGCTGGAATGATTCCAATATAATTCGCTTTTTATCCTTGTCCTACCACTGATTATGTATTTGATAGTATGATGGCTTGCACAGAACTTGTATTTTTTCATGGAGGTATATTCTTCCCTTCCTTACCCTTTGAACTTTTTCTTTCAGGACATCAACACTAGGAGGAGGGAACTCAAAGAAAAACAGAAAATAAATACATTTTTGAGGAAATTTAAAGGTCTTTGAGGTAATTCATCATTCAGTGTATCAAGGAAATCAGGGAGAAAATCCTGCTGCCTTCCTGACACCATGATACATCTTTATTGGAAAATAATGGGCTGGATTCAAAGACAAGACTAATCAAGTTGAAGGTTCTCCTCTAGAACTTCTCAACTACATTTTGCACAACAGGATGCCAGTAAGCATGCTGAGCAGAGTGCTATATAACAGGTTAGAAAGCACTACAGCCTATTAGGATATACATTCACACTGCTCTGGATAATCTACTACACTGCATTATTTGTATATAATTTTCATTGCTTCAAAAAGGCTCCCCTAGGGAAACGGTTTTGTCTTAATTTCAATGTATATTTTGCCAGATCAGACAGGAGGGCCATTTGTGGTATGATGCATTAGGTTGAAAAGACTACTCTGATTTTCCAGCAAAAAAATATTCAAGGTTTATACTGAACACATCAAGGTGGAAAGCCACCGATAAACTAAGAAACAGCTGGTAAATGAGGATGAGGATCAGAGTTAAAAAGAGAAACTGCAATGTTTTTCTCTTAAGAAGGACATCAGGAAATACCATAAATCCTATGCAAGTGGTTAACATTCATTTCACTGTAAACCCGGAAGAGAGATCAATATTTAAGTGTTGAAAACCAACATATGGTAAATTTTAGCAGCACTGTTTGAGCAAGTATGACTAGTCATTTAACTGGCAAACTCTTCCAGAGGAGGAGACAAACACATTGAGAGTACAAGTATGTATTACTACACAGCAGAAAACAAAACAAAGAGGTCAGGGACAGCAGTCCCAACTATCACCAGAGCCTGTCCCCATGCAGGCCAGAGTACCCCAAACTCCTTGCTGCATGAGGATACAGAGCTCAGCCCCCCATGCTCTGCCACAGGTGGCAACATGCAAATATGCTAATCCTTTCGAATTTTGAATTCTGCTGCTCATCTACATCCAAGTGGCCAGACACAGCTTTTAAAGAGCTAGATAGAAAATATGAATTGATAGACCTTCTATTTATACTGGGCATTTCAGGATATTGTGGTACAGTTATTTTACAGATTTTGGAGATAATTTGGTAGAATTTCAATGGGGAGAAACAGAGCATTTATTGACAAGGAAAAGAATCTTCAGTGAAATCTTTGTAGGAGACACACACCTGACAGAGATGTATCTGCTAACATTTTCATATAACAGAATCTTGTTTATCTGTATTAAAAGATACCCATTACTTAAAATGGAGTTGAATAGTATATTCCACTGTCAGCTTGACAATAAAAAAAGTACTTTAGTGGCAACTTCCCAAAAAGATCTCCTTTTGTCCAAACATAATTTGGAATTCAAAAATCAGACACATACACATTGTTCAGACAGAATTTATGCTAAAGATAAATGACAGAAATTACATGCAGAAAGCAGAGTAGTGTTTTGATTGCATGTAAGAATAAACACATTTACCATTTCCAAAGGACAAACGGTTCTTCTAGAAATTTTATAGGACAGAAGCTGCAATAACTGTAGCCCTTTCAAAAGCAAATACACATTCAAATTATCAACATAGAGATAGAGATCCTGTTGCTATGAGCACTCACCTCATAATTGGCAATTGCTTCTCTGTCAAGGGTTCGGGTCACAGAAACTTCCCCGCTGATCTCATTGATTCTAAAAACTCCTTTTGGGTCTTGATCTACTCCCTTACCAGAGAGTCGAAACTTTGCTCCCTCTGTCCCTTCCCTGCTGATAACCTGCATGGCAGAAAACAACAAGTTACAGGTCATTTTACAAAAACTTTTAAAATCATTCTAAGATCACATATGTAGCTTCGATCATTTACCTAATGTTGAGCTATATGCCCTGCATATAATACAGAACTGAAAATATGGTTCATGGCAATATCTAACTATAAAATATCTAACTATATCATATCTAACTATAAAATATGGTTCATTGCAATACTCATATCTAACTATCTATTTCACTACTTAAAGTTTCTATTATTCCATTGTTACTCTATTCACTGTATGTCTAGAATTTGACATTTTATTTAACACTATTTTTTTCTGTTAAATTCATAAAACAACTAGAAACTTTAAAAAAAATTAAATAGTCACTCCATTGGCACGAAGCATGCTTATTTCATAACTCTTACAATAACAGTTATCACACATTATTTTCTGATTAGTAGAAAACCATTGTGAATTCCTTGCAAAAATGGTTCAGGTTGTTGGGTTTTTTCCCATCTACTCTCCTTCCTTCCCAGGATTTTAAATCAAACGAAAAAACTTCTCATGAAAATATCTGGGTTTGCTACCCAGAACTCTCTTTAGTCACACAGTTGGAACTCCTCCACTTTCGAAATGTGTATATGCATTTATACACAAAGGTGTGTACTGAAATTCCTTGTTATTATCACTACCTTATTTCCACATAAGACAAAAATCCCTAAAAATCCAATTTCAAGGTTGTCTCACATAAGTAACAGTAGCATATGTAAACTTTCAGAGCTACACAATGTTTGTTATTAGCTACATGCTTTGCAATTTTGTATTTGTGCCCCAGAATCTAGAAGGATTATAAATTAATCTTGCCCTTCAGGGTTGACAAGTTTGCCAAACCATCTTTTCCCTCTGCCTTTTTATGTGTGTTGTTTTGTTGTTTTTTTGTTTGTTTGTTTGTTTTTCTAGCAAATTTTTATTGTAAATATTTGGACAGAAGCATTAAGTCAAATATTTATATGCTGCTCTGAATTACAGCTCAGGAAGAGGAAGGGGAAAAGTAGCCTTAGAAATCTGGACCTGCTCCCATTAGGAGATAATAAATACTCAGGGCGTTTAATAATGTCCCTGAGGAAAATAAATACTTGTTGCCCTATTGCTGTGAGTTCAGCAGTGCTGGTTTGCAGATTACTGGGCAGTGAGATTTTGACTAAACTCCATAATCATTATTCCTTTATTTTAACTGCAAAAAAAAAAAATTGCCACTAGTTATGAAATAAGAAATCAGCCTCTTCAGAGATAAACTTTCAATTCTCAAACCCTTGGGGGAAGGGAGAAATTTCAAAGTAAAAACTTGTTTTACCCTTTTTCTACTTCTCCTTCCAAACAACACACACTAATGGATGAAGTTTTCTTCTATTGTATTTTTAACAGCCATGGAAAAACAGAGGCAGACAACACTGCAGGTGACTAAAGGGCAAAATAACTTTGTACCTTTAGGTTCTGTAATGAAACTGAAACTTAGTGGTTCCTATGGAAAAGTTTCTTGCTTTTCATTTTCTGGTTGTTTTGTTGTTTGTTGTTTTGAGGTTTTTTTACATTAAATTTATGTGGCTTTAACATAAAGTTATGTTTACAATTTTGCAATGTCATGATCATTGCTTACTTTTGTAGGGAAAAGATGAAGTGCTCATCATCTGCCTGATTTCTGAGACTCATTACAAGACAAGCACACCTTCCCATCTAATACAAGAACAGTGGTTTCAAAGTCCTGAAGTCAGCCACAGGCCAGCACAACAATTTAATTCAGAGATCTCTATACAACAGCTGTTTCTACCACAGACATCAGACATTACCTGTTTGTGACAAATTTAAGATTGCACCAATGGTAACAAGCCACAGAACAAAAGTAAAACAAATCATGGGCTGTGCAGCAGAGTTTAAAAATGCAGATAATGACACATAGATCTTTTTCCTCACTAAATAGGAAGGCAGGAGTATGATGATAACAATAGTAATAAGGGTAGCTGCAGAACTGACTAGAGGGAAGATTTTCTCTCAACTCCAAATCTGGCAAAGATCTTAACCTTGAGTTTGATGGCAAGAGATTCCAATGTGATACCTAAAAGATTTGTACTCCTTGGAGCTATAACACATCCCATATCTCATCCCCACTTTAGCTGCAAGCCATTCTTCAGAATATAATATCTAGGACCAAAGTTACCAGACAGCAGAGTTTTTTTCTAAATGCCTGGATGTGCTTTTTTAAAGCTTCAGGAAACAGTCACATTCATGGTGCAAGTTTGTGCAGACGCTTCTCTCTGTTTACCCATCTATGCATCTGTCTATTGCACAGTGACTTATGCTTGATACAGAAATAAGAAGCCCACGTTACAGATGCTCCGTGTGTTACCGCATCATCTCTTCAAGAGCAATGGTAGCACAAAAGGTGATTTTCAGAAGTAGGATTCTCTGAGATGGTTAATTAGCCACAAGAGGGAGCCACATACTCCCAGGATGTAAGGAAGAACATTACCATCTCCTAATTAAGATGCTTATATAATGGCTGCATAGTTCAAAGAAAGTGCATTTCCCAGTACCCACTAGGCTCAATAGAATGAAAAGTTTAATAAAAATCAGGCTTAATTTGCCATATGTTTTGGGTGCTTCAACAAGAGCAAGGAAGAACAGGAGGATTGTCTGACATCTCCTCTGGCAAGACTGGTATTCTGAATACTGTCATAAACACAGCACTGTTCACATGAAAATTTCCTAGCTTACAATATATTTGGGCAACAATGCTTTCCCAATTTACTGGCTGAGAAAAAAACAAGGTCAGATAATTTCTACTGGTATGTTTACCTTGGGATGTCATTTTTATGTTTCTAAACTACATAAATTACTTTCCCACAGTTACTACTATCTGAAGCCCAGAAAGAATCACTTATTTCTATAATTTGTTTATGGCTTTAGGAACTTCAGTGCAGGTTCTAATATTTAAAATATCTGCATCATACAACAGTGGCTATGTGTTGCATATAAAGACTCCTCATTCTTAGGAAATGGTACAGCTAACTAAGCATTACTCCAAGCAGCCACCCACTGAGAATATCTACGGGCAGGCACACACACTTGAACTGGCCTCCCAGTTTCTACCTATTTCATTTTCCGTTGTTCTGATCTCACATTTCAGAGAGACCTTGGCCTTGCAAGGGCAGAAGGCATGGACAGAATAGATGTCAGTTGAGCATCCCACAATAATATCAGCTCTTGAAGGTTATTTCCTCACACAAGACACAAACAACCTGATCTACTGAGAGGTCTCCCTCCCCATGCAGGGCAATTGCAACCAGATGACCAGTAAGGTCCCTTCCAACTCAAACCATTCTATGATTCCATGACAGTATTAGGATGAAAACTTAAACATTACTCACTTCCCCACACTGAAAACACTTTCCTATGTCAAGGATACATCAGAGAATAAATGTATGGAAAACTGTAGTGCATCCATGCAAGCCTTGCCAGGACCACATATCTAGCACCCAAGACAAACCAGTTTGTGTTGTCATGTTTTGAGGGTTTTTATTCCAAAAAGGCAGAGAGACAATTCTACTCAACTGAAAGACACAGAAAACCAGAATATTACTGAGCTGACAGGATCTGCTTTTTGCTGAACCATGGCCAAAACGTACTTACCAAGTGCTATTTTTCAGCTGACATTATGTATCCCTTCCAGCTAAATTCATCCCAGCAATGTGATCTCCTTGGTGTTACGGGTTTATCGCGAAAGTATATCAGAGTGGTCTCAACAGAAGAAAAGAAAGAGAAGTACAAAAAAGCACACTACCCCACTACCCCCAGAGAAAGATATCACAATTTTGCAAGCCCAGCTAATCTGTCCTTCACAGTACCATCCTAGTTTACCAATTTCATTCTTTAAGAATTGTTTTCCTCAATCACTTCCATAATTTCTTGACACCATCTGAATTAGAGATGCACCGAATTAGTTTCACTTTTTAATTAGAAAACAAATCCCACCCTCAGACAGGAATATTTGATTCAAAGCTAAGTACTTTTTGTTTCAGAATGTTACACTGTCCCTCATGTGTTTTTTATTTTTTGGAGGGTTGTTTGTTTCTGGTGTTTCCTCCCTCCCAGGAAGCAAATTTAGAATATTTAGAAGTGAATTGTTTTTTCCCTTTAATCACCATGTTCCAGAAGAGCAAAACAATGGTTTAGGCACATTGTTTAGCTATCATATAAATATTGAAACAGGCACTTCCTGTCCTACCATACTGAAAATCACTCTTTAGAGTCAGAGGCTCCATCTGCTCTGTACTGACTCAAATAATCTTTCAACCAAAACAAATGCAAAATATTCCTATATTTTTTCAAAAGCACTAACCAACAGAAACTGCTTCATTACTATCAACTGAATATCAAAAAACTATGATTGGAAACCAGTTTACATAACTTGCTGAGTTTAAGAATTTATTAAATTGCTACAATAACTAGTTAACCATGGGAACCAAATTCTGCTCTCAAAACATGAATTAACTTAAAATAGACAAGGATGAACAATATTTGCAAAATTCATGACAAAAAAAACTTCAGCAATTAAAAATGTTTCTGCAATGAACTAATGTAGGTAATACAATAGTCCTACATTTCAAAACATTTCCCCATCAGTTTTCAATTTCCAGTCTCCAAATAAGGCAAGATTTTCAAAGTTGTACCAAACTGCTGGATCATGTGCTTTCACTGCAGAACTCCAACCAGCCAGTCAACCACTCACCCACATTGTTGTATTTGTGTTTGTGCTGGAACAGCAATCCAGAGCCACAAGCACAAGATGAAGAAGGAGATGTGACTAGCAACAGGAATGTACAACACAGACTTGACCTCCTATGACAGCCAAGGTAAAAAGAACACAAAGCCAAGGTGAGGTGTTTGGTTTCGGGGGGAACCAAAGCTGGGAAAAGCTACATTTAGTAAAGCAGACATTGCTTCTGTGTCATCAATTGGTAACA